GAAATAAACAATTTACAATATTGCCTTACAATTTAACAATTTCCAATATAACTTATGACCGATATTTGTAACTAAAATATTGAACAATAGTAGTGCAACGCGTACTTTATATTTTCAAAATTTATTACTTTCAATCTATAATTCATATAATATATATTAAACTGTTGTAAATCATGTAGGGTTTAAAACTAATTTATAGCGTATATATATCTAATGTCAGTACCTGGTATGTGTGTATATTTTACATGATAATTAAATAATAAACAACCTGTCGTATAACGGAGAAAGAACTCACAAAATGTTACATACTTTAAATATACAAACACACATGTGAACGAGTGGAATACCAAAGTCGAACTCCCCCTCTGACATTTGAGAATAGTACTTAATCTTTGATTTCAAACTATTATTGCTATTATTTTTCCTAAATCGTGAAAAATTTTGTCGGTGAAATACAGAATATATTTCATTTTTCCTAAATCTACAACTACGCACATGGTGACCTGGTCTCTTACAGTACACGCAAAATTTTTTTGAATAATAATGATTAGAATTATTTGCTTTGTAATTCATGTATTTTGCGTGATTTTGAGAATTAGAAAATTTTACTCTGGCAGAAAATATAGCTCTGAAATTCTGTTCATTAATTGCGCACGTAATTGCTTCTTGTAAAGTTTTTGGCTTTTGTCTCATAAGTTTAAGTTTTAAATAATTATGCGCTAAATTATCCGTAAACAATTGTCTACTAACTGAAGTTCAATTAAAACTATTTATCTCCTAGTTTATAATTTTCATAAGCGGTTTCAGTACAATTAATAAATTTTTCCTCAAAAATTTGAACCACTTTCTCCCCAAATCTTGTTTTAAATTTCTTAAAAAAGATAAAATTCATGATGTAAATCTTTAATTTCCCCAAATCTAGTACTTTATTTCTTCTTTTAATTGTTCCCCAAATTACGATGATTATCACGCAAATATCTACATATAAAATCGCTTACAGTCCCTTTACTTGATTGAAATGCGACTAATTTTATTTTATTATCATCCAAACTTTTTAAAATAGCATATTTTTCTATAGATTTTATCCAGTCATTAAAATATTTAGAATTTCCATCAAAATTGTGTACTATTTCTGATAAACCCTGTGTACCTATGACAGTTGAAATATTGTCCAATTTATCCGACAAATTTTCAAAAATTGTAGCTATTTCTTGATCTGACATCTTCAAAATTAGCAAATTACAGGTATATAAACGATCACTCACCTTTAATTTTCTGTTTCAGGTACTTCGTTGTGTCCCGCTGTCCAAAATCGTCGCTTCGACATCGCTGGTCTTAGGCGCCAAATCAACCGTTGTCGTATAACGGAGAAAGAACTCACAAAATGTTACATACTTTTAATATACAAACACACATGTGAACGAGTGGAATACCAAAGTCGAACTCCCCCTCTGACATTTGAGAATAGTATATATAATATCAACCTGTCCTAAGGACATTTTATAATGTATATAAATACACACGTTTTAGAGTTACATATATTAATCATTTTGACATAAGATCAGTCCGCATGTATCCTGCACTATAATATTCATAAATCATGTCATGTTCCATAGTGCACATTATGAAATAAAAACCTTAATATATGTATATACATGTTGACTTGTCATTCTTTTTGAATAAAGCGTGTATGACTCATTAGCCTGTGCAAACAGCTATACGACAAACCTGACAGAAACTCTAAGTTAGAAGGCTATTTGAAATAGTTGTAAATCCGAAAGTTAGAATTAACCATTTAATTACCTTTTGATTTTTTTTAAAAATTGACTTGTGCAGCTTCCATTTTTGAAAATGACCAGTAGGAGTTTTGTGGATATTATCAGTTCTTCAGTTCGATTTCTTGTTCGGTATGTGATATTTGATTTTTATTCAAAATTTAAAAGAACGCAAACAAACCATATGGATTTTGTTATTCTTGCAATAATAAGCGATACATACAAATAATTATTTTATGTAGCAATAATATGAATTATAATTCATATATTTAAACAGTTGATTTCTTTCCCAAAATATGAGTTACAAAGTAATCAAATCTAAATTGAAAGTAATATTGATACCTTTGGACCTTAATAGGTCAACCTTCACATTCGACGTACATAGATTTTATGTGCGTTGTGACTATATTTAGAATTTCATAATATGAAGTACATCATTTTATCGTTAGAATTATTCAATAACTGCACGTTACGTACTATTTTGGGGAAAATATGCATTAGAGAATAGCGAAGTAAGACAATGGACTGTTTCCTTTTACAACGACGGCATGTTATCAAGCATTCACATAAAATTGCGCGGGAATAATAATATTTGTCATATTTTGCGGCTCGGATCGGAATATCCGTCCCGAGGTGACGGTAACGAGGCTTGCCGAGTTACCGCCCATGGGCGGGTGACCGAGGGACGGATATTCCGATCCGAACCGCAAACATATGTCAGATATTTTTTCTTGCATATTCTACCATATTCCATTATATTTTAAATTCTTTATCTTTATTTTCAATGAAAATTTATATCATTACAACCGTAACTACTTTCATTCAACAGCGTATGAATTACAAAATCATTCATGTTTGACTTTCATGGTACAGTGCAACTTCCGAGCGTGGCACTTTGTAGAGCAACAACCAGCATAGCTTTCATCTCTTTCCTAAGTATAATTTCAAAAATGAATCACACAACTCCAAAATATTTTGTCTCACACACAAAAAAAAATGTTGCTCTAACCATATTTATAGCAAAAAAAAAAACTTTAATTTTCTTTTTATTATATACTTTCTCTTTTTTTACCTTATGATTAGAAAGAATTATTTTTTAATTTTGTGTATGAATTGAGAAGTAAGTAGTCCGGCAGGTCAACTATATATAGGTGCTACACTTAATCAGTCTCTGTCTGGTGATCACATGGCAAGTTCTGTAGTTAAAAACGCAAATGCAAAGTTAAAATCCCTGTACAGTAAACGTAATTATCTCACTATCCAAACTAAGATTCTTCTGGTTATGGCCATTGTTCAATGCTCTATGTTCTATGCTCTGTACCATCACGTAATGCCGCACACCTGAATCTGTAATGCAATCTTTTCAACATGCAATTATTTATAACATTGAGTAAGGACGTTGTCGTCTGCTGCAACAAAACTATCGGTGGCGCCAAGCCCTCTTTTACTGTTATACACATTTGAATTTCTCTTTTAAAATGAAAAAGAGATGACAGTTTGATAAGTGAACTAAACTCGCAATCATGTGACCATCTAACATTTACCCATATGACCTAAATGTGATTTGTTAAAAAAATACAACAAAAAAGAATAACAATCAATTACGATAATAAAATCGTGATGCGTGCGTGGAAATTTGAATGAACACATTTATTTGTTTATAAATTAGCTATTAATGATATAATCGAAATGCATCCCACGAGAATTACATGCGCGTGGACTGTCAATACACTATGCCATACTTATGTAAATTTAGGAATTATTTTTAATATTTTGTAAATATGAAATTACATTTAAAAAGCAACAATATTTCATTAACATGTTCATCAATGGTATACATGTACATAAAACATACGTTTGTATCTCAAAGTGACACTTCGCTCTTTTTATTTCGCTTTCAATTGGCGCTGAATGCACTTATACATTTTGGATGATCAAAGATTGACTTTTGTAAATAATGGTGACTGACCAATATTTAATAACAGAAGATATTAAAGAAAAATGTAAAACTGCATACCTAGATATAAAAAGACTGAAATACACTTTTTTAATTGAACATTACAGGTGCATTTAGAAAGAGATCTCAAGAATTTTTCGAGAGTCATATGAGTTGTTGATTATCTAATATGTAAAGTAAAATATAAAATTAAATCAACTATGGCAAAAAATATAATGTTGTTTTACACGTATTCATCATTGCACTTGAATGGATATAATGTCACTTTAATGTTTTGGTGGGATTTCTTATAAAGGGTAAAATAATCGTATGTTTTTTGTTGTATAAAATAGGCATAACTTCTATATCTTTCAGTTAGCCGTACAGTATGTATTAATGATTTTTCACATTGTCCGGCCTTTGTATGTCGGCAACTCAATTACTCTGCCCTTTTCATTACCAGCAACAGAAATCGCTCACATTCAAACCAATTCAATATTTTAGAACTATCCTTTGTTCTTGAGAGAACTATCCTTTGTTCTTGAGATAATAAAAATTGAAATACCTGGAACAAATCACTGGTTGGAAAACAATGCATTCTATCAAGCTAATCTTTCATTTGACATGCAATTGTTCACGCCGTGTGTGGTAAAACGTAAAGATCCCACGCAGGATATTACATAATGAAATGATCTCTAATCCTAAAACATCCGTTTGAAGTATTGTTTTATCGTAATTTCTCTAGCAGACAGTGTCGCCGTGACAATTTGTTGCTGGTACTTACTAACTAGCTTACAAATGGTAATAAACATTGCATGCAATATGTAGATTAGGCGTTAAGTCCTTTTTTTTTACATGTAATTAATCTGCGGGAAAGGATAGCTTTGCAAATAAATATTTGCTTTTAAGTTAATAGCAATTTATTTTAATAATTCAGCTTAAACACCAGTTTTGGATAGTTGGGACAGCTTTGGGAGCAAATCTTTTTCTACTAAGTGAATAGCAACCCCCAGGTTAGCCAAAATCAATTTTCCTGTTTCGACGCCGTATTACGTAAATTGTGTTAGTCCGCCGTAAATCCAAGCAAGACAATGTATAGTATGTCTTCAAAATAGTATACATGAATTGTAACTATCTATTCAACAAAACGCCCGGTTCTGAATAGTGGTTATCTTAACTTAAAAGGTATAGAAAAAAGTATGCCACAGACTTAAACAAATGTGAAATAGTAACTTAATTATGTAGCCACATTGTCAGTAAAAAAAGTACAAACAAAGACTACAAGAACGTTTATATAAATCAAATTTTATTTTCATTTTTCAATGCCAAGATACATATTTTGCAATAAGCTGATTTTCACAATGTTGAGTTTTGTAGTAACAATTTTTTGAAACAAAATCAAAGTTTGTTATATCCTTAATTAAAAATACAGGAAAACATTTACTTAAAAGAAAAACGCCTGATATGTAGTAAGTTTTGCAATAAATATTTAATATTTACATATACCGATACATCATAAACAATATATTAAATACATCATTAACCATTTCTCAATTAAAAAATAAACGTCCTTTTACAATTTTAAAGAAGAATTTTCTCAACTTGGATAGTACAAGTACATGTTTATTTTGTTTACAAGCAAATTTATGCAAGCTCTCTTTATTTCCAAATTGTTTGCCAGTGGTTTTTTTTTTCCGCAGTCACGTGACAAAAAAACATTATTTTTTTGGGTTCATTCATACTGTCCAACAAACACAGAGATTCACAATATATATAATGTCATCAGAGAACAAATCTATCCGGCCCCTGGTCCTCGTGGTAGTCTGTTTTTAAAGCATTGTCCAGTTTATTATCTTCTGCCAGAGCTTTAAAATGCTGAAATATATAAAAACATTCCATCATGAAATATTCTTTATAAATATCATTTCATTAAGGAAAATATTCAATTAGCTCATAGTCTTTATATAAATATTTTTTACTGATTTATCATCTTAGTTTTAACAAAGTGCAAGATTAATTCTTGTTTTGGTTAGGTTTAAGGTCACACTGACACTATGAAGGTCACAAGGTGACATTCCTGTTTTGCTGGTGCCGAACCTCAAGGTAATGTTTGTTTGTTTATTTGGTTTTACATCACACCGACACAGTATAGGTCATATGGCGATGCTCCAGCTTTATTGGTAGCGGAAGACCTCAAGTGCCCTTCCGTGCATTATTTCAGGCAAGAGGCCAAGAGCAGGCACCTGAGTAGAACCATCAACGTTCCATAAGCTGGATAGTTTCCTCACATGAGAGAATCCAAAGTCCCTCTAGGGATTCCAACTCACAGTGAAAGGGGGCAAACTATTTGATGTCAGCAGCCTTAACTACTCTGACTAGGAGACCCCATGACTAAATCTTTAGAAAGAGCATGACCCAATGACTAAATCTTAAGTAAGAACATATCTTTTATTTCAATTCTAACAATGATTATAACTTAGACAACAGATCACTTCGCTGTCAAAACATGGGCATTAACTGCTACAGCTGTTTACTAAATCATGCTTGTACTGAATTAATCCCCTGTCTTGTTCAAAGTTTCTTAATTTTATTCTAAACAGTCACCTACAAAGCTTCATTAATGGTACAAAAATGGTAGAATTTACATCATTACACATCATTTACACATATACTAGCATGTAAACATTTTTGTCTGTCCATAAGGAAGAATGTCAAATTGAATATCAAATGTTGTATTTTATGTTTGGATATTTACCTGTGAATTTTTGAACTCAGAATACAGTGTAAACAATACATGTAAAGCTTGAACCTTCTCATTATGGTGGTTTGTATTCTTGTATATTGGAATGTCTAATATAGCTACAATAAAAACACAAAATATCTGTTATAAAACATTCATATACATATATATATAGTCATATTATATATATACACAATATAAATTAGTATTTAAACACAGTCGGTATGGTCCAGAACTTAGTAAATGTTTCATAATGTTGTTTTTTTGGTTGAATGTCACACCAATACAGTTTATGTCATATGGCGACTTTCCAGCTTTACTGGTGGAGAAAGACCTTTCAGACATAATATTGTATCCAATTCTCACTGAACATTTCTCTCAGCTTTGATTGTAAAAATCAATCTATTTAAGTAAATTATGTGTCTCTTAGAAATGTTTTAGATAAATACACTATAAAATCATACATGATACAATAACATTTCTGGCAGTGAAATGTTTAATCAGCTGGACAAACATACCACAAATAAGCTCAACATATTCTCCAAGATCACAGTCCAGTTCTGCAGTAGGTAAACCAACCTGAAACATACACATATTATTTTAATCATCATTCTCATAACTGCCCTGTATATGTATACATGTATGTAAATTACATTAACAATCTCTCCCGGAGTTGTAGTAATCAAAAAAGGTTTCATGGATGAAGATTATTTCAAGCACAAAGGGGCACCTCATTAGAACCACAGACTTCCTCACATGAAAGAATCTGTAGGGATTCAAACCCACAGTGGTGAAGGCAAAGTGGTTTGAAATCAACAATCTTAACCTCTCAGCCACACTTAACCACTTGACTACATTCTCTCCTGGTGAGATTTATTTACATATCTATTATCAATGATGAAAGGAAAGCCGACTCTTCAAAAACTTCATTAGATTGATTCCAGTTTATTACCTCTTTCAACATTTCTTCAAACTCTGGAGGCCATTCCTGCATAAGTGTATCAATGTCAGGCATATTTCTGTAATAATAATAACCAACATTATTAATCCTTGCTAAATTTATGTTATGGATTTGCCTTACTTTAGATATTGAACAGTCTATTTAAATTCTTACAGATTCCAATAACAAAATACAAAGATTGAGCTTAAAACAGTAGAGAGCCTAGTTAAACGTCATGGATGTATAGACTGGCTTGAAGATCAGTAGAACCACCAACCTTCAATAAACTAGCTGATTGACTTCTCATCATAAAAGAATCCAAAGTATCTAGCTTGATTCAAATCTATAGCAATTTGAAGTGAGCAACCTAAAACACTTGGCAGCGGAGACCCGAGAAAGTTACACGCCATAAAGGACTATATATGGACGGCCAAGTGCAAATGTGAGTAAGTATCAAGCAATAGTTAGGACTATGTAACTTACAGCCTCAGTAATCACTTTCAAAAAGGGCACTTACTTGAGATAGTGGACATTTGGTGGAGGTTTAACTCTGTGTAGTTCTCGGATACTCTCTATCCAGCTGTCAATCTGTTTGGGATTTTTCTCCGCCTCTGATAAACTTTTCACAATCTAAATTGATACAATATAAATGTATGTTATTAATGTGCACCATATTTGTAGAAATATATTTTTAAAATGATAAAATGAACTGGATATAACTTAAAACATGCTTACTGAGCAGTTAAAACAACCCTTAAGGTACTTATTTTAAAATAAATGAATAAAAGATGTCAAAAGTATTTTTCTCACAAATTTATTATCATTAATACACTGCACAATTGCATGATTTGATTAACAAGAGCTGTCTGTAAGACAGGGTATTCAAATATTCTCAGTGCTTTACAGTAAGAAAAGGGCATAACTCTGTAAAAAGAAAACTCAGATAATCAAAGAGAACAAGTGAGTGAAGTTTCAACTAAATCCCTTCAGTAGTATTGGAGATAGCAAATTGCACAAACAATTTTACCAAAGAGTGACAGCGACGCTGACTCTAGGGTGAGTACAATAGCTCTCACTATTTATCAAATAGTCTAGCTAAAATTAAGCAATAAATCTGTTATGGCTATGAATATAAATAGCATGAACATTGAATTTATCCAATCAGAATCAATGTTACAAACATGCAGTATCATAATCAACAACATACCAATTTTTTGTCTGTTGTTTGTTTTGAGATCGCTCTAAGCTGTAGGTCAAGGACAACTGGATCAGACTGCTTGGCACACGGCTCATCCAATACGGTCAAACCCAGTGTGCTTGGCTTCTGATCTGGTCGGTTTATCTAAAAATAAAGGATTAAATTAGTTTACATCAAGTACAATACTAATACAAAATACATCAGAGCTGTAGATCCCATATAATTATTATCTTTAACAATATAGACTCAAGTAAAGAAAGATTTCAATATCTGTAGAGAGAAATATGAACATTAACAATACATATTTCAGTTCTTAAAGGAACTCCACAGAGGTCCAAAGGCCTTAAAACATAAAACTTGAATTTCTTACATAGATCAGCTGGCGCACTTTAAACAGAAAGATATGCAAAAGGTTATTAAGAAATACAATCGAAAATAAATTGAAAATCATATTTGTGTTGTATTCTTAGCCTCATTTGAGATCCTTTTTCACTATTTAAATAATCATAATGGAAAAATGAAAGTGGTTGAATGATCTGAATGATCTTTACACAAAAGCTATTGGTCTAGATCTTCATCTTATGGATTATTTATCTGTCATGTCAAAAAATAAAAAAAACCTCAGTGAAGTCCCTTTAACTTCTATATCTCTTTCAGTGAGAATTATAATATGTAATATACTTTCACGAAACATTTTTCAATATCTAAATAATGCTGGCCTGGCTCTGTAATAGTATTATAAGTCTGCCTTATATTTGTTATGTTCTCAATAGAAAACTTACCTTTATAAAGGCATCAATATCACCCACTGCTGGTATAAAGTCTGGGATGAAAGGTTTCAATTTGTGTTCCAGTTCAATTGACTGTGGAGTATACCTATAATGTAAGCAATTAAACAAGGACTTTGAATGAAAATATTGAACACACTTCAAACAAAACTTAGGTGCCCCTAGAGCTTAAATAGGATTATTCTAGGACTGTATTTTCAGTTAAACTAGCACTGTAAAGGTAAACTTTGCAACTTTACTAATAGAGGGAGACTTGAGATGCCCCTCTAATATGTATAATTTCTGACAGGAGGTGACACCTGAAGGAATCACGGTCCCATAAGAAAGATAAATGGTTTCCGCACATGGAACAATCCAAAGTTCCTCATTAACATACAATGTATTGTTCATACCAATTACATTGAAACAACAAGAATAAGAAAATACCATTCTCAGCAATTGATAAATAGATGAAGTTTATTCTAGCAATAGAGTTACAATTTATTTATAAAACTGTTTTCCTTCCAACATACTTATTGTTATCTTTATTGCATTATTCATACCTAGGAATTTAATTAAGTCCCTAAACTTCTTTACCAGTATCTCATACATTCAAATTTAATTTTGTTTGTGATTAAGTCACATCAACACTGGTAGAATACCTGAAGTATCCTTCAACCCAAAATTTCCGGCACAAAGAGGCAATTGAGTAGAACCCATGACCTATGTTAAGCTGACTGGACAGCTTCATCACATGAAAGAATCCAGTCGCTGGCAGGATTTGAACCCACAATGTTGAGGGACATGTGGTTTGAAGTCAACTTCCTTAACTACTTGGCCACTGACACCTCTGATAACTTCTATTTACATTTTAAATGAAAGAATTTGAATTCGGCAGCAGGATACAATCATACATGAACATTTTAACATAAAAAGGTTTTAAAGTTTGAACGATACCTTGTGATGTACTGGAACAATTCCTTGATTTCAGGGGATACCGGAAGATTCTCATAGTCTGCTGGATCATATGCCCTGAAATATGTAATATACTGTTATGAACAGTTGTCATATCATATGCCCTGAAATATATATGTATTCAGTTATGAATAGTTGTATCAAATGCCCTGAAATATAATATACCATCATGAATAGTTGTCAGATCATTATGCCCTGAAATATAATATACAGACATGAATAGTTGTTGTATCAAATGCCCTGAAATATAATATACCATCATGAATAGTTGTCAGATCATATGCCCTGAAATATAATATACAGTCAAGAATAGTTGTTGTATCATATGCCCTGGAGTATATTATATACAGAACTTTATTATAGTTGTAAGATCCTATGCCCTGAAATATAATATACATTTACTGTGCATTCAAGGTGTTTACTCATGAAAATACTCTTTTATCTAAACTGATGGAATGGACATGCTGCTATTACTGTCAGCATTTTAAGGGCTTAATGCCTGACTGACAGAAACTGGAAAGAATTTTAAATAATTGTTTAAGAGTATATTGAAAAGGGGCGGGGGAAAATTTGTCACACCAAAGACTAAAAACTTAAAAATATGAAATCTAAAGATGTAATGCTCTCCTACCTAGCAAGTCAGATATGCTACCAAATATGTTCTAATTCAACTACTTTCTTGACAAATATTTAAATTTTTAACTGTCCCAGCCATAATTAAATAAATGAAAACGAAACAAAGTTTATTATTAGATATGACTTAAAAATAAAGATAAATAAACATAAACTTCTAACCCTTCCAAAGCTACATGATCTTCATCATCATCGTCGTCATCATCATCGTCGTCATCATCATCAGAACCAGACTCGTCATCATCGTCATCTTCAGAATTAAACTGCCCCTGTTGTTCGCCAATTCTCTGTCCATCCCCAGCTGCCATCTTGGAGTCCATCGGTCTTCCCATCTGCATCTGTTGGGGTTGCATCTGTCAAAATACATGTATAACCAATCTGAATTTATGAGAAAAAGTAATCCCGCTGCAGTGCAACAAGAAAAATTCTATCTTAACTTACAATAACAATAAGACTTGTACCTATATAATATCAGCTGTTCTCAATGCAATGCAAAATAACCCAATGAATAGGATTAATTCTATCAATAATAAAAATATTTACTAAGAAAATTGTAGTGAAATAATAGCATATGCTTAAAGAAAATAAAATAAAAGCATTGATGAAGAAAAGCTCAAATAACTGATAATCATTAATACTGTTAAAGAATTTAAATGACAACTAGCTACAGTCACTTTAATGTAAATTATCAACTAAATTATTCTTATATCAAAGTTTACTGTGAAATCATATCATTTTCACTGGGCACACATCTGAGCAGCTTATTTCATCACCTTAGTGCATTAATGGGTGAAGTCCTTCTAAATTTAACAGGAGTTAACCAGTTATTGCACTAAGGTGACAATTTCACATCATGAAACCATGCCACAAAAATGATTTTACAAGATGACAAACATGTCAACAGTTAATGAAAACAAAATAATACAACTTAAAATGATGTCTGAACAAAATTGTCAGCTTTTTAAACAAGTCATTAACTTAAAGGAAACTCCACTGAGAATTTGCAAAAACCTAAAAGCATTATTTTTAATTTCTTACATAGATCAGCTGGGGTATTTAAAACAGAAAGATATGCAAAAGGTAATTAAAAAATATACTAAAAAAAAAATATAAGAAAAAATTGTGTGTTTCTTTGTCTGATTTGAGCTAAAGCTTGATACACTTCCATTTTGGGTCATTTTTCACAATTAGAATAATTATTCTAGAAAAACAGACTGAGTGAATGATTTGAAATTTGGCACACATGTTACTGGTCTATACCTACATCAAAAGGAATATTAATCTCAAAAAAATTATTTCCTGTCCATCATGTCCAAAAAAAGAATCCTCAGTGGAGTCCCTTTAAAGCCCATGATTAATCAATGAATGACTTTACAGTAAACAATGTGAATATTCTCAGAAAGGTTACATAATATTTATTGTTATGTACATACTCTGCAAGTGATTAAAAAGGTTACATATAAACATGTTAAAAGTTGTGAAAGGTAAAAATCAACGTGTTCAAAGTGACCATGTGTGTTCTTGTGTTCCTACACCTGAAATCACAACAAATATCTATCTACCCTATATAATATATACTAAAGGTTCTAGAATCTATTTTTAACATTTCAATGAAATATAATAATTCCTGTAGACTTTTAAAAACCACCTCCCCCACAAAGTTCCAAGTATTTTTGTTCAATTGCAATATTGTATAAATCATGGAGTGAAAGTTGCAGTGAAATACATTCTGAAATTTCTGCTCGTCAGCATGCCTCATTTCTGACTTGAATCTTTTTGTTTGTTTGGTTTTATGGCTCAACAACACAGTACATACGTCAAATGGCACACCAAACCAGGACAAATGTGTTTGGCTAACCTAAAGGTGTTACAAACTTCAAAGCAACACCATGGGTCAAAACCTGCTGGAGCTATAAGAGATGCACAGACTCCATCTATTTGAATCCATTTAATCCCCTCTTACCATCAAGCAGTGACTGAATTCTTATGGTTCAATCATTAAAGACAACCTCTCAGCCAAAAGGGAACCTGTTTGCTGTCTGATTTAAATTGAGTATGATTTATTTCTGGGCTGAGTAGATTTTATTTCAAATTTCAGCATAGTTTATTTTAAGCCTCTAGCCTCAGAAGGTAGGAAATGTCTGGCATGTGCAAGCACTTTTTCATAAATTAAATCACCAAACTTGTTAAGGCCTCAGCTATAGAAATTTTTTTCAGAACTAATTCATTAAATGTTGAAATAATTGACCCCACAAAAGTGCTTCTCGAACTTCTTGCTTTAAATCAGATAAATTACTTTAGTTAATATAACAATTACTAATATACATGTATAAACTACAGAGTCAGCTGATAATGAATTAATTGTAAAGTGATCTTAGCAATTACAAGATGACGGACTATGTTGAATAGCTTTTTTTTTAGATAAAAAAATTTGATATAAACATGTTTTACAAGGACAACCTAGCACAGAATTAGAATCTTATTCTTCATTTATTCTAGCAAATGACTTTCATGAAGAGTTGGATCCCTTTGTGTACAAAGCAAGTTTATATTTCACTGTTACTAATAAATTAAGCATTGTTTGCCTGGTTCTTCATTGATATCAACACATTTTTGATCATATCTTGGCAGCCAGTCCACCTATTACCAACTTTCCTGGATAAATAAACATAAATTAACGGGTACTAATTTCTCTGTAACTGACCAACTTAACTTAGACGGCATGATTTTGTAATCAGCAGTGAGAGACAAATGACCATAAAAAGGAATCCTTGACCCTGAGTATCGAACCCTCGACCTCTGGATTACACATCCGATGAGCACTCTCCCTATTGAGCTCAGCCAGGGGACAGTTTCTTAAGTTACTAATCTACATATACCAGTATAACATCAAAATCCTTGAAGGAATTATGCATTTCAAGAATAAAGCGTATAAAATGGATAATCTTTCTCTGATTGTATAGTTACTCAAATAAGATCAAATGTATATATATAGTGAAGATAAGGACTAAACTAAAAGCTTTAAAACTTGGCTATAACTGCTTGCCAAAAACAGATATAATATATTGAGAGTAGGTATAAGCAAAAGAGGTTTTTTAGCACAAGTAAAAAGTGCTCCTTACATATGAAAATATAATAACTAATATTCAGAGATAATTAGTTCAAAGTTTGAACCACTGGCCTGTATGACCTGTTTGTTTGTATGGTTTTTATGTGATTTATTTTTCTAAGGTCACATCTTGGTGGTTCAGGTTTACATAACAAGATTACCTACTCGGTCATTACAAATTTAACAACAAATCCCAGATGATTTCTAAATCAGTCAAGAGAGACAGAGTTTAATGATCATTAGACTCAATGCCCAAGATCAATTGTCAATGAAAAATTTCACTTTGCCCAAGATCAAACTAAAGATCCCTTGATTACAAATCTTATTGTCTCCAATGCAACCTGTCATTGCAAATCTTAATATATAAAGTTTAAAAAATAACACTATGACACAATCATACTGTTAAAGTAAGTATGACATTGACCAACACTATATTAGAAGTTCAACAATTTTTCAACACACATAACCATCCAATGTCTATTATTTTGCTCTTGTTATAATTACAACTTTGTCATTAAACATACATTTTTCTTATACGATTTCTTAACATTGCAAATTACTCCTTGTTATTAGTAAGATTTCTTAGCGAGACAAACTGAAATGTTACAGTTAATAATTCACATCAAATATCACGCCCGTCATACCATCCCCTCTGCAAACTCAGACATCCAGAAAAAAACTAGCTTCTTCTTGGAAAGTCGATAATTATGTAATACATAAAGAGTGGAAAGTACACAAATTAAGCAGGGTGAGTTATTTTTAGTAACAACAGTTTGTACCCTGCCGATATTTTCATCATCGTCCTCATCGTCGTCTTCGTCATCATCTTCATCATCATCATCGTCGTCGTCGTCTGGGGGATTGTTAAAATTTTGTTCATGTTGCATGCGCATTTGATTCACATACTGCAGATAAAACAATGACCTTAACACACAGCTTATCTAAAAAATTCCAATGACCTTGACTGACCTTGACACAGGACAAAGTTTTTTTGGACAGGACAAGACTTTAGTGTTTTCCCCATAATTTTTTTTTTTTCAATGAATGATGTTCTTTTCATATACATGTCTAATATCCTTAATATGTTAGCTTTGATAATTTTGAAAAATATCCAATGACCTTGACCCAGTTATAGCACTTGTAGTTTTTTCACAAATTTCCAAAATTAACAATAATTTTTTAAAAGATCATGACACCTCTTTTTTTCTTTGGACTTTTCTTGAATCTGCATTATGTTGTAATTTTGTATGGTTTTGAAAGATCTGTATAAATATTTATCAAGGTTGAGACAAAAATATTGAAAAGTTCATGGTCATTTCAAAAGGCTTATTATTTGACTTTTTTTTCAAATTTAAGTGATCTCCTGGAAACTAAAATGTGTTAAACTGAATCAATAAGTAGGTGTATACTGGTTATTCCATGCATTCTTTTTCATTCTTTTTTTTTTTTTTGGGGGGGGGGGGGGGGGGGGGGGGGGGGGGGGGGGTGGGGGAGGGGGGGGGGGGGGGGGGGGGGGGGGGTTATGATATGTATATAGCAATTAAAAAATGCTATCTATTTCACATAATGAAGGCAAAAACATTAATTAGTAATATCATAGCATAACCACCTTTGAAAAACAGGCATTAAGGAAAGTATCTTCCCTGAAAAACTGCAGTTATGAAAGCAGCTGTACAACACAGAACAAAATAAAATGGGTATTTTTACAAGCCAAATAAACTACACACATGCGTGGTAAACAGCCAAAATAAATATCATGCAGGGGCAACAACATACATATTCATAAAATATATATATATTATTATAATATATATAAATTCAAATCAATAAAATATGAATAAACAATACGAAGTAAAAACAGAAATTTAAAAATACAAAATGAAACAAATAATTTAAAAACTGGTTGTGAAACAGTGGATAGCGGTGATAGGGAAAATATAATTATGATAATGTGAATGAAACTTTACACTAGTAATGACTTTATCAGCCGGAAAACAACAAAATATAATAAAACTGATTCAAATTGTGTTACATGAATATTCTCTTGTGCCAGATTATAGTATTTCTATTAAGTAGAAATGGATGTAGACATTCTAAGGAAATTGTATGTTTTATTTCTCTAAAAATATTTTTAGTTTTGGATTCCTTTTAGTTTTCAAAAATTTACCCATTACCTGAACCTTCTCTTGCTTTTTGCGCAATTCAGGTACCGTTAATAAATATACTGATTTAGTTTTTTGTATGGAAGTCAAAATACTAATTGATTTACAGTTTGCTACTTTAAAAACAAGTAATTTTACATTCAATGGTACTTATTTAAGGTAATAATTATTGCATCTGACATTCTCTGAAACTATCAATTAAACATTATAAAATCATCTTAAGTAGGAAACAAATTGTTTCTATGGCATTACAAATGTTCTTAAATTAACACTTTTTCATTGCCAAGTCAGGAGCTGATTGTTTGTTTGTTTGTTTCATTTTACGCCTTTTTCAACAGTATTTCAGTCATATAGGCGGGTAGTTTCCTAACCATCGTTCCTGGAGAGTTACACCAGTACTTGAATACTTTCCTCCGCGCTAAACTACCAAAGCATCTCCCGGGGATCGAACCCATGCCAGAGAGGTAACTGGATTAGAAGTCATCGACTCTAACCCCTCGACCACGGAGGCGGTTGTCAGGAGCTGAATATATATTTCAAAAGAGTGACTGTTTTAATGGTGATATTGGAAAATGTTTCAGATACAATATAAATCAGCCTAAAATATAAAAAGGCCTTTTTTATCAATTGAACATTATAGGTAAATTTCAATGATCATGTTTCCAGTAATTTACTCGGGCCACTTGGGTTATTTATGGGTCATGTGAAGTAAATTATAAAACTGATGGCAAAATGTAAACTTATTTTGACTTTCACTCCTTCACTCACTATAATTATACCCTTGATGAGCATAGTGTCACTTTCATGAATTGAATTACCTCTGGCACAAGTTAATAAACATAAAACAATCTGACAGCGAGATTTGACATCACTGGGCTTACCTCTTGATCCGGTGGATTTATCTTGTCACCGAAATCATCATCCGACTGGTCTGACATCCTTGGGTCTGGTGGAGTCGATCCCCGACTACGCCCAGGACCTGTGAAAATAAAATAGTAAAATCTAACTCTACTGGTAGGGGCCTGTCAACCAAACACTTTTTGAACATTTTTTCATGCAGATTTCATAATTTCAAACCTAGAGACCTGAAAATTTGACACAGTACTGCTAGTTTGTTTATTTATGATTATATTGACACATATATCTGAGGCTCATTAAGGAGGGTTTCAAAATTACCCAAATTGTCTACACTACAGTACCATGTGTCTGGACAGATATGTACATGACATGATTTAATTCAGATAAATGCTTCCAAGGGTATTTTAATTTTTTATTTCTAACATGACAATACAATATTTCACCAGCAAATGCTGAAGTTTTTGATATTCTTTTGTTTACTCTGCAAATAATTATAGCTAGTATATGAGGTCAGGTATTGCACTTTTAACGCCCAAATTTTCAATGTCAACATTCTTCAAATAGACATTAAAATATTACCATCTAAAGAAGTTGAAATATTAAAATAAATTTAAATACTAGAAGAAACATGCATTTATTGCTGATAGATCAACAACCACGGAACATCTAAGGTTACAAAATAGAACAATCCACTTTTACAACACTTGATACTAAGAAAACATTATAAGCATAAATTCACAAGTGCACAAAAAAAGGAAATAAAATCATTTGTACAATCTATATAATAATAATAATTAAATTAAGCTGTTCACAATAAATACACAGTTTAAGGAACACTAAATAACTAATTAATTTAACAGAAAAATAAATCATTTAATTAGATGAAAAAAACAAACATTTATCTAAAAATACACAAGACAAGAATCTTAGGACCCATTCTAACAACTGTTACAAACCTACGTTTTGATTTAAAGTGTCAGTTTGAGAAAATAACATAAGGCATTTTGACCATATCACCTGAGGATTATATGACACACTACCCTTGCAGAAATATATACTGGTATTTAAAAAGTCCCAGTATTTCCCAGTTATTATCCTAGAAAATTCCAGAATGTTAAAACCAGTCTTGGCTATTCTAGTATGGCCTAGGAAATACCAGTTACTGAGAACTAGGCATTTCTAATAATTCTTAAACAACTCATCAATTTCTAAGTTAAACTAGGAATTGTAATTTATTTTCTGAGATTTCTAAGACTTAAGATTTTGCAAAATTCCTAGTCTTTAGGAATTACTTAGAATTTATTTTGTAGAACAAAATCCTTAACATCTGTGCTAAATTCCTTGAATCTTACATAAATTCCTAAAGACTAGGAATTCTCTTTGTTGAAAGTAAACAAGTAAATAAAGAAGGAAGACAATAAAATTGAAAATAAAAATGTTTTCTTTCTTTTTTTAAATAAAACAACATACTGATCTAGTTCTATTTAATAATATTTTTCTAGGATTAGATCTACTATTATTATTATTATTTAATTGAAATTTAATAATCAATTGACCTTAATGGTCAACCTGCATTTATGACAATTTTATCTTTGGTCATTTAATTAATAGATAATAGGAATATAAAATCCAAAAAGAAATAACAAATGTACAGGCACTCCAAGTAAATCAAAGACGTATTATAAACCTTTAAAAAACAATCAATAATTGACATCTGAAGTATGTAATTTTTATCAGTTGTGTAGAGCTATTTTTAGCGCTGTCAAATTGCATCCACTGATGTCATGCTTCAGTGCACAGGCTGTGTGTATAAACCACTTTATACACGGTGACATTTTTATTGAGTGTGATTTGAACATACGTAGATCTAATTAGGGGTGGATTTAAGGTGATTATTATTGCATAGTTGAAAATCCCATGTGGCAAATTGACTCTTGTGCAGATTCTTTCACGTGTCAAATATGTGCATTTCCAAATTTTCACGAGTCAAAACCTGAATCCCCGCGTCAATCGAGAGGACTTCCTGAATTAAAGTAGGCCTATATGTGGCAGCCGGCAGGTCATATTTATGCTGACGGAAATTAACGATGATAACTTAGTCTTCACTTAACCAGCGAACCTTTACGATTATACTCGAGCAATATCCGTATATTTACGCTAACCGAGAAGAGCATATTTTCATGACGTATAAGATACGTATACTGATGACGTAGCAACACAATTGTTTTGGAAACTACTGTAGCTTTGTATGAAATTCAAGCGCTTGTTGTGCTTAAAATAATAGATTTGTGAAATAAAATTCAACGATATAAATTGAAATTATTCAGTCATTGTATTGACGGCAAAAACAACGGAACTACACGAAATTATGCGAATCAAGCACATGTTACTGACGTAGTACACAGGTTTATTACGTAGAACACAGGTTTATTGTGCGCGCAAAATTCAAAGACGGCAGACACTTCGTCTCATATCAAACAGTGAACTGATATCGTCTCCCCAATAAAGACATACAACGAGGAAGGTGAAATTGCTCAAGCAAATTATCAGAAGAAGACCTTCAAAGCTGCAATCGGTGAAATTCACTGTGAGTATATTAGATCCTACTATTATCATAAATGCACTGATTTTTTCCCAAACAGAGCCGGCATGTTTATGACCCCTAGAAAAAATGATGAGTCTAGAGATTATTTTAATGACCTTTCTTCACTTCTAAAAGCATTATTTTGTAAAAATTTGCCGACTGTATCAATAGAAATAATGTATTTCCAGCTTATTCCTAGTTACAGTTAAAGATAGATCTACTTAAACCTTACTGGAAAAAATGCGTAAACGGACATTTGTCACATATTTTCGCGACCTGTTTTTATTTATTTCTTTGTTGAACAGGAAAGATATAATAATGAATAAAAAACAAAGCATCGTTGAAGATGGTTGTGCTTCCCTGCAGGAAATTATTTGCTTTAGTATGCAGACAGTTCACTACCTTAGCAATTTTGCACTTGTAGTAGAAAAAAAAGTTTTTCATAAAGAAACAATATTTTTATATCACCATTAATTTATGTAGTTATATATTAGAATATGATAAACAAGATCAACAAGAAAAGATGATGTTCAATAAGCCTACATCATGTCTGTATTTTAAAATAACACATTACTGACTGTATTTTTAAATCACAATAAGATACCTCCAAAAATTTATTTGAAACAGAAATCATGTTTTCTGTTTGTTTTTGTTTTGTATGTGTGTGTTAATGTGTGATTTAATCTCTAGATTTCTGTGCATGTATAGGAATTATTGGACCACTAAAAAGTTGTCTAGGCCACCAAAATTTATCGGTCAGTGGTCCACTGGTGACAGCCTAGCTAAAATGGTTTCTCTTTGACACTGCCTAAGCCTATACTAGAGAATCTGAATACTGGTCCATTAAAATAAATCCCACATGATGATTTGCAAAGAACAAAAATAGCATAAAACAGACTGAAACGGTGTCATACTTTAAGCACTAACCTGAATACATTGCCTTAATCTCAGTCATTGAATTTAAGATTTTTGAATAAACTCGTCCGAATTCCAGTTTTGAATTTATTCTACTATATATTTAACTAAATTCTCTTAAAATTTACACTGGTCATGGGCCACCCGGCCAGTGCTAAATTCGATGACTGTAATCTATTATTGTATTAGGGGGCAGGACGTGAAGTGGTTGAACATGCTTGAACAAGATATTTTTGTGGCCCCATTTTAGTGGCGGGCATTTAGATTTACCCTTGTCCGTCCGTTCTCTTTTGTGTCGGTAACTCAAAAAGTATTTGACCTAGTCATGAAACTTTACAGGAATGTTGATCAGCATGTGTAGTTGTGCACCTGGGTATTTTTGTCTGGATTTATATAGTATTTTTAGAGTTATTGCCCTTGACTTAGTAAAATTTTGCAATTTTCAACTTGTGTCGCATGTAACTCAAAATGGGTTTGACATAGAGTCATGAAACTTTGCAGGAATGTTGATCAGCATGTGAAGTTGTGCACTTGATATTTTCTTGTGGATTTATTTTATTTTTTAGAGTTATTGACCTTGACTTAGAAATTTTTTGCAATTTTCAACTTCAGCATGTAAATCAAAAAGGATTTGACATAGAGTCATTAAACCTTAAGAGATCGGTCAGCATATGTAGTTGTGCACCTTGGGTTCCCCTTGTGGATTTATCCCCTATTTGTAGAGTTATTTCCCTTGACTTCGTAAAAACCGTTTCATTATGTTGTGTTATTTGTTCCTGGAGTGCTTGAGTTAGAATCAACCAACTTTACAGAAATAATGATCAACAACACTAAATTACAGGAATAACAATGATAATAAATAATAATAAAAAAATACACAGTATATTTTCATTAGTTTGCCTTTTTTGGTGAACTTCAAAACTTACATTTGTGAATAAATGAGCATAAAAACCACCCTGGACTTTCACTTATCAAATTTCAAAATATGTACATGACCAGTTCATAGCTTTAATAGCTTTGTATAACCAAAAGCTACAAATCTGAGGCCCAGAACAGAGTGTGTCATAAACACTTCCTTCATGAATGGCCATTTAAAAAAAAAATCAAATAACATACAAACCCACTTACCTGAAAAAATATGTGAGAGTTTTGTAAATATTTAAGACACAGTAACCATTTTGTCAAGTTTGCAATGATTTTACTTGCTTGATCCACTTCACGTTCTGCCAAGTGATTTGTATTTATTTCGTATTCAAATATCTTGGTATATTTCCATATGTAGAGAAATGTATTTGTTTGATTTCAGATAAGAATTGGTACCACAAGGCCACAAAGGGAGGAGTTCAACTAACTTGTGGATGATGTTCAAAGCTGAGGAGAGTGAGAGCTTAAATGTATAAAACGGGTCAAAAACTTTTGATATAGGAATTGTCATAAATTCTTCAGTTAATTGAAAGAGGGCAAGTTGTACAAAATGCCATGAAGCTAAAAATACATGGAGAAGAAACTGTGATGTCACACAGTTAAATTCAGTATTGGCAGAATTGTGTTCTTATAAGTTATCATATGTTGCGGGATTTTCAGAGATTCAATGATGCATCCTGGGTAAAAATAGCCAAAACACCATCATATTGAATTCCCGGAGGAAGATGAAACATTTTTTTGCTTAAATAAGAAGCAATAGCTATTTATTGTAAAAGGTACTATACACACTTTTCTATACAAATATTTCTCTGATGAAAATCTATGTCGGGGTATGTAAACAATAATTCATGGATATCATCCAAGTTTAACAAGAGTGCGAAAATTGGAGACTATCGAGAAAACCCAATTATCACCCAAGCCTGCAAAGGATTGTGGGTCTGAATCTGACTATTATCTATTTTTAGAGCTTCTTATCTGTTGTATATATATATATATATGTACATCTGTGAAAATGCAAAGAAGTCGTTGGATTACCAAAGATCAACATTTCATTTGATTACCAGAGATCATCAATTAAGTGGATTACTGAGATTCTCAGTATGAAAGATTTGATGACAAGAAAACTATTAAACTGGCAAAAATTGGATCTTACAGCAAGGATTTACTCATTTCAGAAGACAGCAATAGAAAATGTAGGAGTTGCATGTAATACTGGAGGTTTCTTGCGTCATGTTTTGTACTGTTTAAGTGACGTTTCTTAGACTGTTTAAGTGATGTCCCTCATTCAATCAGTTAAGAAAATGATGAAAGCAAATTAAAATCTAGGAGTGCCCTAGTCAAGTATTATAATGTTTTAACTTTTAGTGCTAAATTCAAAGAGATGTCGCATGTTACACTGTTTTAAAAAAAGGAATCTTAAGTCAAGTGTTATTGCCAAAGCTCATTGCATTCCAGTAACTACAATGATATATCTAAAGAAGTGTGTCTAAACAATACAAAAACAATTAAACTGTAAGGAAAATACTTTAATGTTTCATATGCAATCATGCTTTTTATTAAATTTAATTGTTTGCTTATGACTGATGTTGAACTGCTTGTCATTTAACTGGATTTAAAAGTGCACATTTTTAGTTCACATCAGTACAATGTGCTTATGTGAAGTAATGTGATTGCCCTGTGTCCAATGGCATCTTGTATTGTCAGCAATTTCTTGTAATGATATCTTCTACAAAACTGATTATTTGATTTTAATTGTAATGATCCTTTGGTGGCCCTAGTAACAGTAATTCAGCTGTGGTCCAGTCATACCCAGTTGCTAGGAATTTCCAGTACAATGCAATCCGAGGCTATTCCAGCCATTCCTTAGATCATGGAAATACCAGGAACGTCTGGAATATCCAAGTTCTTTGAAATGCCAAGGTATTACTAGAAAAAATGTTCCAAATACCGTGGGCAGGTCATTCTCAGCCATTCCTAAGATTATAAAAATACCAGGAGTTACTGGTATTATCATAGGTCTTTGAAATGCCTTGAAATGCCTGGGATTGACTAGAAAAATGTTCCAAATACCGTGGGCAGGTCATTCTCAGTAATTAGGATTTTCCAGTACAAGTCGATCTAAGGCATTCCTGGTTTCACTTTTTTTTTCTAGTTATTACCAGTAGTTTTCAGTCGTTCCAATTACCGCCAGCCAGTAACTGGAAATTCCTCAGATTTCCTTGCATTTCCTAGGAATTATCCTTGTAAATATTCCTGGGATTTCCCAGTAAAATCCTAGTAAAATCCTGGTAAAATACCAGTAATTTCTGCAAGGGTACTCCCCTGCCCTCCCAATCCAAAATAAAAAAAACAAACTCCCAACAAATTGCCAAAAAAATTCAAACTGTTTCAATTTCTGAGAAATACTGAACTGTTTTGACTTGTTTCTTAAAAGAAGTAACAGGTAAAATTAAAATATACATGTTTAACACTTAAAAGCTATGTCTAAGCGACTTGAGCCTATATAATAAGGTGCTTTTTAAAATTTCCAAATAAAATGCCATATATTTTTTTAAAATTTCCAAATAAAATGCCATACATTTTTCCTCAAGTCATTTCCAAGGGCTCAGGTTCCCCCAAAAAGCTTACAATCTATGCCATCAGTGTTAAGCCTGATACAGGCCGCAGACACTTAGCCTGGCAGTTAATTAGACCAGACTCTATACTGATAACTTTACTGACTTATATTTTTGTACTGAAACCCCTGAAACTAATAATAGTTTAATACACTGTTCCAAATTTAAAGAAAGGTAAGTTCATTACACTAATTTAGCAGTGAATTTCAATGGGTTGAAATAAGCTTTATTCTTGAGCAGTTCAAAGAATAAAATAAATGTAGTCATTACATTCTTCAAGTTTATGAATCTACTTTAAACACTAAACCTACCGATTATTTTTATAATAATTATCACTAGCAAACTGTTATTAAACCTTATCACACTAAATATCTTAAATGGACTTGTCCAAATTTCAATCTGGACAAAACCATTCATTATTTATCAGATTTTGTTCAAAATATGTGTTCAGCGTGCATTTATCATATTGGTACGTAGATTTAGCAGCCACAAAAAAGGATAAGATCAATGAATCATGCCCTACATTTAAAATGATGATATCAGTGAAACATCTCTAATTAGCCCCTTCCTTTGTAGCAGATATTCTAGGTTTGTAAATTGTTTAAGTGTGCTAATAGTTTATTGATAAAAATATTGCCAGGTTGCACATTATGCAACACATTCAAAACGTGCACCTGCCTGACTTTTTATAACGGACTTGCTGAAGTACCAGTCCAGTTCATTACTAGTTAAAGGGATACAAGTAACAAAATACATAAATTTAGTAGTCAAAAGTATAACGTCTAGTCTGAGTGAATATCAGTGCCAATATCACTCAAATAATATCAGTGCCAGTATCACTCAAATAGTCAAATTTCAGTTGAAGAATTTCTGCTGCTGTGCTCAACCCTTAACTGGTGACTGCCTTACATTTTTAAGCCAGTGAAAGCAGAATTTTGCTATATAGACGTGTTTTTCTTCTACCCAGTGTAACCCAACTACAAAGAATTGGTGAAAAGACGAAAAAACTACAATGTCTCAGCTATACAGTCTGGATGTGTTTTACAAAACGTGAGTACAACTAACAGTAACAGTACAATACTACATGTATTAAAGCAATTGTTGTTAAAAGCACTAATCATGTAACATTTCTAGCATAACACTCATCTTGATACTGCAGGCTTTAAACTGCATGATTAAAATACTATTGAAATGTTGTATTAAGTGGAAACATTCATTTGTCAATTATTATTCTGCAGATCAATTCTAGTGTCAATTAATTATTATCATCCCTAAACTCTAACTACTACATTTAACATGCTCTACAAAGACCAAACAATACCTCAAAGTTTCATTTGTTATACATGCAATTTCTAATTTGTCTATAATAAAAGCAATGATTTCCGAACAAAAGTAAAACTCTTTGTATGTTTTTAAATATGAAAGCTTTAACAATGGACTAGTCTGAAGGATTAATGGTTTCTTTTTACAAGAGCTGACCTTAAGGCAGCACAATTGACTATTTTAAGTACAATCATGTATTTGCCTGGAAGTGGGAATCATGGTTACTAACAAGTATCTAAAGTTTCAAAGCTATACATCAAAGGGTATAGGAAAAAAGAGGTGTGGTTTGAAAAACTTTGATGCAGATGTGTATGACCGGGTTGAGTAGGACAGCTCTTCCCTATTATATAAATGAGCCACGTCACGACAAAACCAGCATAATGGGTTTGCGACCAGCATGGATCCAGACCAGCCTGCGTATCCGCGCAGTCTGATCAGGATCCATGCTGTTCGCTATCAGTTTCTCTACTTGTTATAGAGTTTATAAGCGAACAGCATGGATCTTGATCAGACTGCTCGGATGCGCAGGCTGGTCTGGTTCCATGCTGGTCGCTAACCCATTATGTTGGTTTTGTCGTGATGCGGCTCAAATTTAATAGTCGGGCTAAAAATGAATACTGCCAAGTCAAAACCAAATCAATCTTATACTTCATCTGAACTAAAGCATGACTGTGCTTAAACTTTTACAAAGTCACATCACACTATCCCATACTATTTTTTTTATATAGTTGAAAATTTTAACCAAAATCTGGAAACAGACCCACTCCAAATAGCAAAATGCTAATATTTTTTTCCCAAAATGGTGTCCAAAAATTTCCATATGTCTACAAACATTAATTAGGCTTTTCTTTCTCTTCAATTTATGTAATATTGTGACTAAAAAAAAAACAACATCAAAATTGTATGCAAATTGTATATGTTCCAAGAAAAAAAAAATGGAAGAAAGAAAAAAACACTGTAAATTTGAACATGTATCTACTGATAATTGGGCAACTGTATAATAAATATTGATGACTTTACATCTAAAATTTATTTTGAAAGCAAAAATATTGCTATATATAAATTATTTTTTGCATGCATAACAATAGTAGAGTACTGTGTGAGAGTATATTACCTTGAGGCCTCCCTCTACCTGGTACGCCCAGGCGAGCTCCTGATGATATACAAAATATTACACACATAAGAATTGCCACAAACATTTTACTTCCTACTAAGATCAATTTTAACAACCGCATAAAAAATGAATGAGAAAAAATGATAATTTATGGCATTAAAAGGGGATAATAATTAATTAATAAAATATCTTAGGCCTCAAAAGTCATGACATCAAGAATATTATGTTTATCTGTTATAAAAAATTTAAATGAAATTAACTTAGAAAGCACTCAATACAAATGAAAAATACTTAAATTTGCCTTTAAATGACAACCCTGAATATTATTATGTAACTATAAATATGAATAAATGATTATTGATAAATATTAGATACAGTAAGTCTCTCGAATTCATGACAATTTGACATACATAGAAAATATTTTATTATAATGTGTCTATGCATTGCTCTAGTATCTTTATTTCATCTGCTGGCTTTCTAAACTTGCATATGATAAAGCCTGCATTAACTCTAGGTTAGAAAATGTAAATATTCAATATATGAAAGTTTTTTTCTGCTTACCTGTTTGTGTAACGCGAGGTGTTGGTGAGTATACACTTGCTATCTCTTCCTCGTCTGGGACGTCAAGGGACTCGTCGTAAGGCTGATTTTGATGTACTTGAGCCTACAAAGACAATGAGTTGTTTAAATGATAGGGAAATTGAACTTTTAAACCACAAGCTAGATTCTAAGTTGAACAACTAGCTAAAAGTATTTGTACATATCTTTACAAGCTAGCAATAACTGCAACAGTATTTACATGTAACTAGCTATCAATTTATGTTTACTAATGAACAAAAACAAAGAATGATTTATGATACAAAAGAATACTACAAATTTATTTATATATTTTTTGTATGGTTGGTTTTACATTACACCAACACAGCATAATTCATATGGCAACTTAAACATTTTCGGAATGTCTAAATATAATTTACAATCAGACAATAGACGGTAGAAACTATTACTAGAAGATAGAGATTTTCATTGTTCACAAAAGTGGTCCTGGTGACCCTGAAATCCACAGATCTGCAGAAAATTGACATCCCTCTTTACTGTCAGAGGAAGACCTCAGGTACCCCATCTGTTACTGTACATTTTTTCAGGCACAAATAGAAAACGAATCCGGGTCAGCTCGGCCCTAAAACGTTCTCGGCCCCCGAGTCAGCTCGGCCCTATTCCAACTCGGCCCACTTTTCAATTATTAATATTTAGGTTTGTATTAACACTATTTATTGTAATTATTGTAATTATTTATAATACACTGATTGACAGTTTCGAACTAGCAGCAGACAAGCTTTTCTTATCAGTAGAATTGCGAGTAAAGATAAACGATTGCGTATCTCACTGTATTTCTACATATTTAACTTCTGTTCTGTTCTTTAATACTTTAACTAGATAATGCACAGACAAGGTCTTTCTATTTGATAAAAGAAACGTATGACACGTGCAAATGAATTTCGGCAACAATCAATGCGCTTATACGGAAGATTTAATTAGAAGCTTATGATATTAAATAAACACGTTTTTGTTTCATTTTTTTTTTGGCTTGCAGCCACGGCTGCAAGCCATTTCATTTGAAAAACTTGTTCCAGTTAGGTGGTTTCCTACTTACATCTGTTGGTGCATGATTGAACGGGAAACCAAATGCAATTGTGCCAATCGCAACTTTTCGGCCTTTTCCGTCAGTCTTCGGATTAATGATAATAGCCGATGTAGTTCCGATTGCAACCGTAACAATTCGGGCGATTCCATCATACTGCGGAAATCTAAGCTATTTTAGTTACTTCGGTAATCCCAGTTTGTGTATATAAATAGGATTTATATTTTTTTTCTTGATTTACCGGTTTAAACCGTAATAAATTATAAACGAAATTGTTCCGTTTCATTTGTTTTTCAAGACGCAAAAGTTTGTTTCTTTTATAATTGCTTTTTTGTCTGTATTAGTTTTATACAATAGAGAATGGTGACTGTAGTATTATTCCGTCTTCAAAGGGTAATCACGCATGATCGAGTTATATTTAGATCTACTGAACGCAATTCAACTTCTTGGTGAGGTAATCTAAAAATAGCCCATGCATATCATTAACCTTGCCAAGATCATAGTTGATACATGCTTATTAATATATTGGTACCACGGTACCACGTAACGAAGTATTTTAGTGCATTTACTTGTTTTTCTTCAGTATCACGTTAATATTTTTTACGATTGATCATTTTCTTTATTAGTTTTATACAATAGAGAATAGATCTAAATCGATTTGACAAAAAAATATTTGGTTTTCCATAAAAAAACAACAACTAAATAAACCCTTTTTGATAATAAATTGAACCCCCCCCCCAAAAAAAAAGAACAATTTTAAAGGGTTGGGATGAAGGCACAACTGTGCAAGCCTTTCCTTTTAAAAGGAAACTTTATTAAATATTACTTTACAAACACATTTTATTAGAATCTAGATCTATATTAATTTTATCGAATCTGCAAGACAGATAAATAACATTTTTTTCTAAATATACTTTATTTCAGAAGAAGTACAATGTATAATTATATAATAATAAGATATTTCTTTTTATTCATTTACCATAACAACATGCAAAGCAAAGTTAATACGTTATATATATTTTTGTAAAGTGGGCCGAGTTGACCCATGCCGAGTTGGTATAGGGCTGAGTTGACTCTTTTCCATAGAAAACCTGGTAGAACCACTGACATTCAATCACATCAGACTGACCTGGGGCCGAATTTACTTTGGCCGGGTTGACTTGCACAGCTTGAAACATGTGCAGATTAGGTTCAAAATCTCTAAAACTCTTTAATGCTTTTATGTTCCTTCAACGCACCAGCTATTTACTCCAAATAAAATAATACAACAAGAAATTCATGCAATATTTAACAATTTTGCGACAATAAATCGGTAGATCCATAACTTAATCCTTGAACATAACCAACATAAAATTATTTGAGTGAAGTCAAAAAGTTGTTGACATTAGTAACGGCCGAAATTACTTCTTTCTTTACCAGTTGAAGAAGTATAAATTTGTTGAACATGCATTACTATGTATAACATATATTAGATTGTACGTTTTGTTCAATTAAATAGTGAATTTTAAAATAAAACAGGTTAAAAATAACTACTTTAGTTCTTTCTTCGTCGGAATCGTCCATTTGTAATCCCTGGAATGTTAATAGAACTCTTGATTGCGATATATTTGCAAAAAAGTATATGAAGCACATGTTCTAAACATTTGACCAACTAAGAAAGCAGACGCGAGTGATGTTATTTTAAATAGCTTTATGTGTTGTTGTTGTTATTATTATATATATATATTCATATATAGCTCAGTTGGTTAGACCACTGATTATCACTCCTGAGGTCCCGGGTTCGATCCTGGGTTATAACCTTGGGATTTTTCAGAGACACTTTCAGTGTTTCCCACCTAACTAGAGACCTGTGTACTGGTAAGAAATCCAGGTAATCCTCGCATGTATCAGTGCTATACACTGGGCATGTAAAAGAACCAAGGGGTCTATTCAATAAGAGCTAGGGGCTGGTTCCCGGATTCCCTTGTATCTCATAGCTGTCTCTTAAAAATGTAAACAATGTATACCTGCTTAGAGTGATCGTAAACGATTTTAAAGCAGTATGATGTAGAACTAGAACTCATTATTAATTTTCTGTTTAGAAAAAAATCTTCTTAATTCAAATATCAAAGTATGGCATACACTGAATGAATCATCACAGGGAAACGTATATGGAGAGACGGGTAATTTGTTTTCATGTATCAGCTGGACCTTTTGCACAAGTCAGTGCTTGACTATTATTTTTTATAGTTACACTTAAATTTATGAAACGCAAACTAAGGTAAGTTTCAATAGGCCCTACATTTTATATGAAGCTAGAAATGTGTTGGACACACGAGTGCCCCCACACTCCTCTAGCTGTTTTGTCAATCTACTGTCTCTAGAACAACTTATTTTTGGCGACACCAGGGTGAAAATCTTTTACTAAGTCAATGACACAATCTCTACCAATACTGAATAAATGCACAAGCAAACCTCAAGATGCATAACTACACATGCTGGCCAACATTCTTGTATATTTTCAGGACTACATGCCAAATACTTTATGAGCTATGCATTAACAATTCTGCAATCTATACTAAGTCAAGGGTAATAACTGAAATAAAATCCACATACGAAACCCCAGGTGCACAGCTACACAGTGATGTTGATCATCATTCCTGTAAAGTTGGTTGATTCTATCTCAAACACTACTCTGACTAAACAGAATAATTCCACAAGCAAAACCCCAGGTGCATATCTTCATATGCTGAGCCACATTACAGTTTCAAAACCCTAGGTTAAATACTTTTTAGCTACGTGCGACACGAGTTGAAAATTTCAGTAAATCAAGTGCAATAACTCTACAAATACTGAATAACTCCACACGCACGAACCCAGGCACACAACTACATGTACACATGCTGACCAATATTCCTGTAAAGTTTTGACTCTAGGTCAAATTCTTTTTGAGCTATGTGCGACACAACACGAGAACAGACTATGAAGGGCGGACGGACGGACGGATTAAGCCCGGGTAAATCTAAATGCGCTCCTATAGTGATATTATCAAAATACATATAAAATTATGATCTTCTACCCGATTATATTTTTAAGCTTTTTTCAAATGCATAAGTGAATATATTAAACGGAATTTCTGAAACAAGCATATTAAATTAAAGATAATACCGTTCCAAGTTAGACTTTAAAAATATGCAAATGTAGCCGTCTAGTAGATACGCACTTCGTTTTAATATGACAAACAAGTCTCTTTCAAGACTACCGATTATAAATCGATGGAATTGATTGATATTTATTTCACTTACATGTCAAGTGTTTCTAGAAAGATAAGTATACACATATGCTCCAAATATAAAATATGACTGAAAGACAGTGTAACAGGAGATGTTGCAAATTATGCAAAGTCGACCCAAACGAAGAATAGCAACACCTGCCCAAGTCTTACATTTCTCCGGATGCATACGCACACTACAGTTCCTCAGCGCTAAAATGTCAAGGGAGTGGAATAATTTCCCTTAACATTTTTCTCTCGAAATTATGTGTTGTTGGCGAGATTAATATATGCCTTTTTGTAATGACTGCAGATGGTCAGCAAACAAGATACTAAAATGTCCTTTTATAAATGGGCGTCCGTTAAATCATTTAGGCTAAAATTTGTGACTTTACACAACACGCCCCTCACCGCTTTGGGTCCGAATCCGCATTTGCATTCTTTCATATGAGTAAAGAATCCAGTTAGCTTACGGAACGTCCGTAGTTATATACTCCAGTGTTCGCTCGTACCTGAAATATGCACGGAGGGGCATCTTTAAGGTTTTAATCTACCAGTAAAGCTGGAAACTCGCCATATACATGTGTAGTCACATGGTATGATATGTTGGTGAGACGTAAAACTCAACCCAAATTAGAAGTAAATGTGCTTTTATTAACAGTCGAGTGAAATGATACCTTGTAGAAAGGGTAAAGTTCTTTAATACTGATTAAATCTATCCTTTCGTTATTGCTTTTTTTGCCCTATGCAGTCTGCGCATGCGCAAAATGCTACTTTCTTTTCTAGGGAAATATACATATATCGTATTTATTCGGTTTTCGTTTTGTTCCATTGTACTCAATAATTTACCAAAATGAGGAGATTGTTATAATCCAATGCATTTAGTTAGTAGTATCTGAACACCAATTTTTTTTAAGAATTATGTTTGCAAAGTTCTAAAAAATACGGAATATGTTTTAAAAGAGGGGCACACTTATAAGATATTTCATGATGTCAAGTTACTATCCAGATGTCATCCGTGAATATATACATGCGCAAATTATTCGATGTTTTAAAATATATGCAGAATTTATCCATATCGTTTCATTTATTACTTGTAAACATTTTAAAAAGAGTTCCCAAACATTTTGTAAATGGTGCATACGGTACTTTCGTAACTAGATAACAATAAAAAAATGATTATAAACTTTTTTTTTAGTAAAAAAAATCATTCTGTTATTTAATACTTACATGTTTTATTTAAATTAAGATAAAAATGTCATAAAAATTCTCCAAATATTTTACGAACTTTGCATATCCCTTCTTTAAACCAGGGACTAATTTTTGATATACAAGCTCAAGATATAATGTTTGAAAATATTATATAAGTACAGCCTTAGATGATAATTTCATAAGAAAATATTAAATCTGTCATTTAAAGCAGCACGCATAAGAAGATAAGGAAAAATCTTCCGTTGTGTTTTATTATTTCCAATATTCTCTTAAAATACGTAGAGTAATTGAAAGATATTGTAATATCGCTAAAAACGTACATGTTTTGACACCTTAAAATTGCTTCGAAAACAAACAGTATGCTTTTCCCGGCATATAACACAATACGGAATTCTTTCATCTGGATTACTTCTAGTAAAATGTAGCGGTGGTTGAAAAATACCATATGATGCCGTGCGGTATTTACCCAACCACCGTTGTGACAATTTAAGTGAATAAAATATTTTTTTTTCTATTTATAAATATCGTCTACTATAATTGCGTTATTATGCAGTAGATTATGTAAAATACTCACGTTTTGACGACAATTTTGTCAATTTTGTTATTCATTAAAAGGTTGGTAATAAAAAAATCACATTTAACTTAATAAACCAGTATTCACTGTTCACTTAAATTTTATTTTTTATTTTACCACCTGGAGGCCTGCTGCTTTATATGACCACACCAACGTTACAATATCTTTCCTCAATCCTTTCATTTCCTTAAAATCAGTTCAGGCTGTGTTAACTATCCATAATTATCAGACAAATAGCATTGTTTTTAAAAAAGATTGCTTCTATCACCTGATGTGGTGATAACAGATAGCCAGCCCATTTGTACTATTATACTTTGATTAAGATAAATGTGAATGAAATAAAAAATATATTTATATACATTGTATAAACTTATTATTTTAATAAAATTCTTTAAGTGCACGTGCGCCTATAACTGTCGAATGTTACATTTTAGTATATTAAAATATCATACGGACGGGTGTACTATAGTGATAAGAAGATACAATATAAATGAAATTAGAAAATATAATGAAAGTATGTCTATAAGGAAATGTGGCAGCCAGAATTCTAAAAGCAACTTGAATACAAGAAACAGAATCGTATATCAACTATTCTCTAATAATCAAGTGACACGTTTTAAATTGAGAATATTAGCGTTCATAATAATTTTGTTGAAACCTCTTGCGCACATGTACAATGTATGTGTTTGTAAAGCCACAATAATTTTAAACAGTTCTGTGACAGACGGTTTTTGGAATAGAATGTGTGATTATTTTAATATTTATTAACGAACATTTTGATTTGATCTCAAATAAAAAAATGATTATATGAAAAATATTTTAGAGACCAATGTGATCACAGGAGCCTGAAATTATATCAAAAACAAAAAAAAAATAACGATTTAAAAAAAATTCCCATATATATACTATAAAAAACACTGTTTTTTATAGTATATATATGGGATTTTTTTTTAAATCGTTATTTTTTGTTTGTTTTTGATATAATTTCAGGCTCCTGTGATGTGATGTTTATGAGCGTTTTAACTCGCGGACCGATTTGACTGGTTTATGTACAGTTTATTCGATTAAACTAAATATTTTTGCCAGTACAGTAAAAATCAAACACTGAGAATTGTTTCGTATTTATAAAAAGTTTCAAATTTTTTAGATACAGAAACCATAAAAAATACAGTAATCACTTTTTATAGACATTCTTGATAGTAACTTGTGTTTTTCTGCTAATATTACAGGCAATCATAAGGATAGAATACGAGTCCGATTATAATAAATTCGAAACTAACACATTAAGCGGAAATGACGTTTTTTCGTCAACACTGAAATTGTCACAAATTGTCACCCCATTTTTGTCGTCAAAACAATTTGCAATGGTAGAGAGATTTATTGTAGTGAACTTGGATTTTATTAATTTTGATCATGGAAGTTGTCGAAGATGATAACGATAAAATATCGCCTAAACGATCAACAAGTCTCCGCCACGCTAGAACTGCCAGCGATATTCAAACAAGAAAAGATTCCACTTCGAGTTCCAACGGTTTAAAGGCTGTAAACACAGTGACAGGTGCTCTACAGAATTTGTTTAAGTGGTCTCCATTAGCGAAAGAGTAAGACACTTTGTCATATGTGAAACGGTGGTTATAGTCATCTGACAATTAACTTGGCTAAAGATACTTCAGCGAACAGGTTTTATAGTTCTGCTTGACCTGTTCTCAAAATAAAAGCGACATATAAAGTTATGGAAGCCAGAACTACAATTAACTCAGAAGCTGGTTACCTAGTCCAACGAATTAGTAACGATTCGCCACACTAACGATTCGCCACATAACGATTCGCCACAGCGTAATAACAATCGCCACAGTTAAATAACGATTCGCCACAGTATAATTATAACAGAGACATACATAACATTATCTGTTATCTATGTCTGATTATAACAATGATTTTTTTAAGTAATCAACAAACTTTTTTTTAAAAATAATCAGGGCTGCCGATTTTCCGCGGATTCGCGGAAATCCGCGGATTTCTTGAGCTCCTGTGTCATTTTTGAGACCGATGTAAATTCGACAAAGACAATAAATTCAGTCGTCATATTTTATTTTATACAGTACCCAAAAACTGGCACGCTTCGGCTTTTGTCGTTACGCTAGCCGCCTATGGTACGTCTGTAAGCGCTTTTCTCATTGGTCAAATTGAGTCTTTTCCGGCATATTTTAGAATAACCAATCAAATTACAGTTTACATTGTCGCTCTTGTCTGTTGTCAAAATGCGTCAAAATGTCGGATATTTGTTTTGAGGGCTGATGAAAACCTGAAGTCCAAACTTAAGTGTCTCTGAATGGCTTTAAAGGCAACCAAGGAAGTCAAATTTAGAGTCCGGGAAATTGATTTTAGGGCATACCAAATCATCAGAATCCAGGAGCTCCCCTGGGCCCCGACCAGGGCTCTGCCCTGGACCCGCAAAGGGGGCTTGCGCGGCCCCTAGACCCCCCGCGTATTTTCCGCTGATTTTGCAATTTGCTGTTGGCAGCCCTGAATAATTTTACAATGACAATAATTTAATAAGGTTTTTTAATACAAGTAATATGAAGTTAAGGCTTCCATCGCGGATTTTCAATTTATCAAAGTTAATCGCAAACATATATGGCGATTATTATTTATATATATTATATATATATATGTCAAATATTAAAAAAAAAACCGGTTACTGCAAAAATATGTGTTCATTATGAAAATTGATTTACGATAATTGATTAAAGAACGCATATCTGAAACATTTGTCACACCTTTAATTTAAACAAGCCAATCATCTAAGGTATGTTGTAGAAATAATTAATTGACGCCGAAATAATCCTTAAATTCTCTGACATCTGAGTATAATTGGAAACAGAGGAAAAATGTACAAAATTTAGCCAAGCACCAGCCTCAAAAATTTTGGCAAGAAATACGAAAAATTAAAAACAAAAAACCTAAAGCTGGACATATTTCTAAAGAAAATTTTTTCAATCATTTTAAAACATTATTTGCGGAAAATAGTGCTTTCATTAATAATGAGGTTGAGGATGAATTGAACCAGAAAAGTTTAGATGAAAATGTTATTGAACAACTTGATAAAGAATTTAGTATTGATCAGACCTGGGGTAATCATTAACTGTAATCATTGATTTTGTAATTGATTACACGATTACACTGTAATCATCATGTAATTGATTACCTTGCCCAAAACTGATTACATTAATTGTAATTAATCAATTACAGCTTAAATTCAGTCAGTAATTATTGATGAGATAAATTTAGCCATTTCTTCTTTGAAAAGAGGTAAAAGTGGGGGTGTAGATATGTTGGTTAGTGAAATATTTATAGAATGTAGTGATTTTGAAAAATACCTTTCTTTAGTAAAAAATCCAAAGTTTAGAATAGCTTTGTCACGATTAAGGTGCTCAGCACATAGACTTATGATAGAAGAAGGTAGATTTAGAAAAAAAATGACAGAGATCAGAGAATTTGTTTAAAATGTAACATGAATGAAATTGAAACAGAATATCACTTTTTACTTGTTTGTCCATTTTATAGGGAATTAAGGAAAGAACATTTACCAAAATATTATTGCTCTTGGCCTACCTAAATAAATTTATATCTTTAATGAAAAATTCTAAGCATGGAACTGTTAATAGATTATCAAAATATATTTACTTATGCATTACGTGATAGAACGAATGATTGATGTGCATAAGAGTTCCCTCACAATTGGATACTACTACATGTAGTTTTTGTCACTTTGTTTTGTTAACAATGTGTTATGTTATTTTGGAAATAAAAAATGTTGAGATATATATTAATAATGAAAAAAAAGATATTATAAAAATGCTATTTTTGTACAGAAATAACAAAGTTTTTGTAATTTTGGTAATAAAATACATGTATATGTTTTTATGTGTTTTATATTCAATAACAGCTGATTTAGGTTTTTCCAGGTTAAAGTTTTAAAAAATGTTAACATATTTACACTGTGTATGTAAATTTTGTTATAAAATATGTTTGTTATCATGTGTCTTTATTCAATAAAAGCTGTTTTTCGTATAATTTTCCAGTTTATATAAATAACCACGGATTTATATTAGTTATTACAATATAAATCTGTGAAATAACGAAGTTTAACTTATTTACAATCACGGATTTATGCTACAATGTGTAATGTAATTTTGGTAATAAAAATATTTGGTTTTCATGTATTTTTATTCAATAAAAGTTGTTGTTAGTATAATTAATTTATGTAATTAACAAATGAAATATAGAATGGAAAAAAGTTTTCCATCAACAGGTGGAAAACAGGTGCGAAAAAGTTCGTATTTGAACATTAAATCGTTATTTAACTGTGGCGAATCGTTAATAATCTGTGGTGAATCGTTAGTGTGGCGAATCTTTACATTACCAGTCCAACTACTTGAACTACACAATGTGATATTTTGTGTATGACAGTATGGGCATAATATGAAATATAGGCAAAGCCTATGAATGGGGAAGTCGGTTAAAAAAATTATTTATTTTTCCGTTTTAAATGTGTCATTTGTTATTTCATGCACCGCTTCCGTTTTCACTCGAAATACTCGACGATTATTATTAATCTGAAAAGTTGCGATTGTCCGTTATCGGAATATTCCATATTATCATAGAGTTACATTGAAAATAGCTCACTATAAGAAAATTTTGAATAAATTGTTTATGATACCTTTAAAGATTATCCATTTCTACATAAATTCCACGCTTAATTTCAGAAAATATTCCTCAGTTCATAACACAACGATTTTGATAGAACACATATGTTCCATCAAAATATTTAGACATTAGTCCAGGGATTTACCAACCCTTTAAATATTAGGGCAATAGGGGTTCATTGGACGCAGGATCTATACAAACAGGGGTCCACGACTAAATTTTTAGGGGTCCACTCCAAGACAATTTTGCAAAATTGCTGACTCATCACAGAAGAAGTACACTAAGATTGCAATATAAATGACTGTATTGTAAACAATAATAAAGATCTTTTTTAGATTTATTTCTCAAACAAAAACGTAAAAATATCTTTTTAGTATCTTGACAAGAAACATTCGTTTGACCCTTAGCTCTAATCACTTTTATCTATCTAACCAGACAGACCGGAATGTTGTGTCACGTTTCTGTTTTGAGGATAGTTAGGATGATGTACTGGCTTCAGTGACAGGCTAAGAGATAGGCTCATTGTCTTTTCATTTTTGTTTCGAACCACCCCCACCCAAAAACTTCTTAAGTCAGCCTGTTTTGCCATAGCTTAAACCGAAAGTACTGCCATTCGGCACAATATCTTAGATTCTTAATACTCTTATAGAACGTTTTTGCAAGAATGAAACTAAAGCAAAATTGTGCCTAGAAAATGTCGAAAATATTCGACAATCATTCAAAATTACACTCATTTGTAATTTGAGAAAACATTCTTTAAACTTGCGGCGTAAATAGTCGATAATTTTATCCTTTTGTCGGTAAAATTTGCTAATATCCAATTAACTGTTGATCAAAGATATAAAATTATCACCTTGTGTTATATCTGGTAATTACATGTACAGCGCGTGTATCCATTAGTCTGATCACTATTGCGTGATAATGATCGGAAGCGTTATCGCTGATTGGCTAATCGCTTCACGGGTCGATGTGCATAGTCCGCCTAACTATAGACTGACACGCGCTGACTTATTTGTGTATTTATGGTTGTTAACAATCTGTAATGTTTATAAATGCGTCCCCAGGCAAAATTAAGCGTACGCGGAATCCTTGCTCTGAAATATTTGCGTCCAGCTGTAATAAACATGCGTACCGGGACGTCGAAATAAGCGTTCCCGAGAACCCTGTATAAATACCAATTGGTGATTCCCATGACCTTCACTGCTAACCAAAACATTTTAGATATCGTAAAAATACGGAAAGGAAAGTTACTCTAAACAATTTTTGTTTGGTCACGATACTAAGTACGGAAATGACAATTACTTGAGACAATTGTTCTGGGTCCATGTGTATGCAGAATTTATTTTTTGTGCATACAGGATGGCATTTTATGCTCGGTCTGATAAATCCCTGCATCACGGCTAATGTCACATGACAAATAAAAACACTGTCAATAACTGCTCTGTTATGTACGTGTTACTGCATTACTGGGATTTTATGAGACACTCTTTGTAAAAGACACTGATTGACAGTTTCCAAACTAGCAGACAACAGTAGAATTGTGAGTAAAGATAACCAGTTGCGTAAAATCGCCCCAAACTAGCGGTTTAAAAACGGCTAAATATGTATTATTTTGGCATTTTATAAGAGATATCTATTTTACTCGAAGATAAGGGAAACAACTCATATTTTTTTCACTCGATATGCATCGGTTATTTACATAGTTCATATAGAGACTGTCAGTGGGTGTATATAACGTTTTATATTAGATTCAAGAAATTAATTAATGTGAACATTAATCAAAAAATTAATATATGGGAGCAGAATGATACACAACTAATTCATTACATTTCTACCTTCAGAGAGTTAATAAAAAATATCATAGTCATCATAATTTAGAATTAGCTACTCAGTAAATTATCATTTTGTTCATCTATCAAGTAAATATAAGACATCTAGGTGCTTTTAGTATAATAAAATGTTTCTACAATTATGATAAAGATACTTTTTTAAATAGGGATATTTTAATTTAATAGCATGCACATTCATGAGGCTATTATAATTTAAGAGCAACAAATTCAGATTCCAAGTATTTTGAGTGACTATGAAAAAGATACATTTCTAAGGAATTTGACAGTCTGTTATTTGTAAATGGGCTGATTAGCAACCAAATGTCCTGTCAATATATTTTTGATCAATATTAAAACGAATAAATCTTAACCAGGCAAAAAAGGGAGCGTTGCCTACTCATCGGTGGCTCTTGTTTTATTTATACTTCATCTTATAAATTTTGAGTTGATACAAAGAAAACAAGTAAGGGTAGAAGTATATCAGTGGTCTTTATATTGTCAACATTAACGAAATGTAATTGTATATTTGGGCAGCGTACCGGTGTCGGCATTGTGGAATAGTTGAAAACGTTTCAAAGTAAATATTAAATTTAATATATTTTCTATTTTGGGAAAAAATCATCTTTGCAACATTTCTTATACATTACCCAATATCCAGGTCATTACTACATGTACTGGTTATTGTCTTACTCTTTCATTATGATAAACAGATAAATTTATTTTAAATTTAATGTAGCAAGAAATATACAGTAATTAAAGAATAATATTTAATATTTTACAGTTTTTCATGTTTTTATGAAAAACATATTTGACCACATTCACCATGATTCTAATGGGAATAATTCTTAATTATACATGGTACAGGATTTGACCAAGCAATATCAATTTTTTGCGTACATTTTAGAGTAGAATAGCAGCATCACAATATGGCTGAGAGAGTTAGTAAAATGGTTTAAATGGTACCGTTTACATTCTTCAAAATTTATGAACTGGCACTTTTTTGTGCTGTTAATGCCTTATAATTATATTGATGAGCAAGTTCTTAGTTTTGAATTGCTGCATTTCCACAATTACACCTAAATCCACTTTAATACAATGTGTCAAGAAAATCGCCAAATCACATTGTATAAAATCTGGCACATCTTATTGTCAACCTGTAGACAAGTAAAAAGACTTTATTTAATTGAATCATATGAATTAATAACTTTCAATTAGAGTTTATAAGTATTTATTTGCTAAGTGTTATCAAATGTGTCTCATGTCATAGGTCACAAGCTTGGATATTAATTATTACATTTGGAAACTTATTTTAGAATAGACTCATAACACAGTAAAGTAAGTTGATTAGAAATACTTTTAGAAATTATGGCAAGGGTAAGGCAAAATTTCTCTGTGAAATTGATCTTATGGTCATTTGTCTCTCTCCACTGATTCAGAACTTCTGTGGGATAAAACACTGGGATTTAAGAAGTCTGTCACATGTAGAGAAAGTGGTAACTTCTGGTTATTTATTCAGGTTAGCCGGTTTAAATCTAGGTGGACAGACTTAACCAAGATATTCATAACCAAAAATGTCACGAAATTGGTGTAAAAGCTGATACATTTATGTATAGCTGTGTCAAGGACAGTCTTAATTATTATAATTGAATATTAATAAATGAGGAAGTTAGAATTTCACTTAAAGTTAATACAAGTCATGTAATATATGATTTAAAGTTAATAATAAAGTACTGTGTCATACTTTTCCCTCTTAAACTTTCGCTCATTTTTTTTGCCATTTATAGCCTTTTTCAGCCAAAGTTAATTATGAACTGAACAAAATTTCGAATTCTGCAGCTGTACATTGAATATAATGCTAAAACCATAATTTTAGATATTACCATCTTTAGGTCCCGTAAACATATACATGTATGTACCTTACCTATATTTTCAGTTATACAACTGTCACATTTGTTGTAACTAATAGCTAAGTTTAAATTGATACATGATTCAGTCGATTAGTCATTTCAAGGCAACAGATTTCTCTTATTACCCAGTATTGAAAATTACTTATTAATCAGCATTGAAGATTATTAAAAGATTGTGCCAAAAACCCCAACAAAAATACATATAATATTGGGACATCTTTGCATACATACGGGTGAAAGATAATTTGCAAATTAATTTTCTCTGTTTATCAGTCTGATCCACAAGTCTTACTCATTAAGTTACTGAGATTATTTCATACTTATATCCCTATATACATGTACCTGCATGTATCAGGCTGTCAATATGTTCTACAATAAGGACTGTTTTTGTGCGAAAGACTCATTTCATCCCATAACTTATTGCTAAAATGTAAGACAACATTACATAATTTATTCATGCCAAGCTTGTTCGTGCACTAGTCTTCATTTTGAAAGTTCTCTGCTAGAAGGGAGGGTCCTAGAAATTTTATTCACTATTCTTAGAAATATTTTCTTAGTCAGTTTTACTGTTTTTTATTTTTTAAGATATTTGCACTAAATTAACTGCTTTCTTCACTAGAATATTAAAATGCATAAAATTGACCCTACCTACAATTAGTTCGCCAAACTCTATTACATTTTGACGTTATCACTTCTGATGTCATGTGAGAGTGACATAATTTTCCTGTTTATTATTTACTTGTGTACCCTGAAGAAGGCTGCTCAGCCGAAATGTTGGTATCTTAAAAATTACTTAGTTTCTATTATTTTTGAATAATATTTTCAACAGATTAATTTTTTATTTCATGTTTTTTTGTGTTGTTTATTTTTTCAGTAACAAGGCAAGATCATTTGATTCTTTGAACAGGGCTTCAAGTCATGATTCTATCAATCTAATTAGAAAGAACTCGGACAAAATGGAGAAAAGGTAAATTACTTAAATATATTTTTGTCATAGAAGTGTCCCTGGCCTAGTAATATGGTGGTTGCCTTCAAACCACTTGTACTTGGCAGTTGTGGGTTTGAATCCCACAGTTGGCTTTGAACTCTTTCAAGTAAGAAAGCTATATGTATCCAATACAATATAATGTAAAATGCTCATGGATCTACTCAGGTGGATTCTTGTGCACAGAGGGACACATGAGGTTTTCCTCCACCAGTAAATCTGGAAAGTTGCTATATTAGTGCATGGGTGCAAGTTTTCAGGCATATGCCTGAAGTTCAGGTTTTTATGCCCCCACAGAGTGGGAGCATATAGCGTTGCACTTGTCCGTCCGTCACGCCGTACGTCCGTCTGTCCGTCTGTCCGTACGTCCCGAAATCTTGTGAACGCAACTCCTCTTAAACCGGATGGCAGATTTTGCTTAAACTTTCAGGGATGAACAACCTTAATATGTAGATGGTAGTAAAGGAAGGAATTTTCGCTGCGACCAAATTTAACAGAATTATGGCCCTTTGTTGATTTTTTCACTATATACTATGTAGAAATTTTGTGAACGCAACTCCTCTTAAACCAGATGGCAGATTTTGCTTAAACTTCCAGGGATGAACAACCTTAATGTGTAGATGGTAGTAAAGGAAGGAATTTTTGCTGCGACCAAATTTAACAGAATTATGGCCCTTTGTTGATTTTTTCACTATATACTATGTAGAAATTTTGTGAACGCAACTCCTCTTAAACCGGATGGTAGATTTTGCTTAAACTTCCAGGGATGAACAACCTGAATGTGTAGATGGTAGTAAAGGAAGGAATTTTTGCTGCGACCAAATTTAACAGAATTATGGCCCTTTGTTGATTTTTTCACTATATACCATATAGAAATTTTGTGAACGCAACTCCTCTTAAACGGGATGGTAGATTTTGCTTAAACTTCCAGGGATGAACAACCTGAATGTGTAGATGGTAGTAAAGGAAGGAATTTTTGCTGCGACCAAATTTAACAGAATTATGGCCCTTTGTTGATTTTTTCACTATATACCATATATATGTTGTCAGTGGGGGCATCCGTGTCCTTTGGACACAGTTCTAGTTTGTGACAAATTTCATCATGTTTTACTATTAGATTATGTAGGAAAATGATTATGAATTACAGTTTTCAGGTTTTTCCCAATTTTCAACTTGCACCCATGTTAGTGTCAGTGTTACTTAAAACACAACAAACACATAGATATTTGTCATTGTTTAAAACTATTCACTAATTGGAAAGAAAATGTGAAGCCGTTGTGTGTTTTGGAAGAGCTGCCATTTAGAGTATTCCACGGGTCCCATGTTTGAGTCCTGTTATCACTTTTTGACATAATTTACATTTCTTACAAGGAAATGTTATGTTAATGATAGTATTTTAGTAAACTCTGTGCTTCATTTGGAAGTATAAGTAATGTACAGTTTAACTTTATTCTACTTGATCAAGTCAATGGACCTGCACTACTGTCAATTAGAAAGTATAGAGGTAAACAGGTATCAAAATGCTGTATAAATTATAATTAAGCAGTCATATATCTAGGCCTGTAAATGATTGCATAGTATATAAGATAGTTCTTAAGTGTTTTGTCTGTTTCAGTAGGAAAAATATAGATTAAATATATAATAAATATTATTGATTCTAGGAAAGAATCTGTAGAAATGTAAACAGGATTTATAGGCTGTGTGCTTAAGAAGCAGAATACAAAATTTGCTAGATAATATGTCATGATAATGTCATTTATATGATAAGATATATTTAAATTAAGTGTTTTGGTTAGAATGATATAGGTTTTTAATTGATATAAATGATGATATTTATCATCTTTGCATCACTGAGGCTTTTGTATCCTGTTTACTTAATTGTATTTTACATTTTTTTTATACATGGAAGATGAAATTTATACATCATAATAATATCATTAACATGGTAGATGAAATTTAAGGTACAGCATTTAATTAAAGTGTATAGAGCTCAATATACCTGCTTCAAAAATTGTTATTTTGAATTTTGAAAAATAATACTTCCAAAAAATCTATATGAAAGAAATACAATGTAATTATGCATGTGTATAAACGAATTACACATGCACAAAATCTATATATTAATTTCAATCAGTATAATAAATTTATATATTTAAAATTTTCCCTTTAAAATGATGAATGGTTGTGTCCAGAAAGAAGTCCATTATTTTTAATGGTTATAGTGTTGTAAGGTTTAGTGCACTAGAGTCCTTGAAGGTTTAGTGCTCTAGAGTCCTTGAAAGTACTTATGGACTGCCCCAAATTCAAAGCTGGACAGGTCCATGCTATAGATATAGGTAAGGTTGGTTAGAAATGGCATATTTTACTAAATTGATATGAATCAGAAAGATGAAAAAAAGTTATTGTTCACTTTTAATAAGGAAATGGTGAATACTTTTTCACGTGCCAGAGCAGAGGTTCATTGCTAATAACTGCAGAAAAGATTTCATGATCAAAAACGAGGAACCTGCCTGGTCAGGGGATTAAACCCAGTTTGCCTGACTCAAGGTCCAAGGCTCTACCAAAACATACTGGGAGGTGCCTTTATATTTGAAACTTGCATATAGATATTGAACTCTTCACGTTTGCTTGGTATTACTTGTTAAGGACTTTAAGATTCCATTAGTAAAAAGAAAAACAAATATCTCTTAGCTACTGAATTGAAAACTTGTGAAAATATACTTGGGTGTGAACATGTCTGTAATCCTTATCAAAACAGCACAAGAAGTCAATTTGTATTCAAATGAAGATTCAGGCAAATCCTTATGAATCAATACAGTGGAAAAGATATCGTATTACTAACTTGTACTTGTAAGATTTGAGGTGCCAGTAAGTGAGCTACCTGTTATGGATGGTATAACTGAATGAAAAGTTACACAATGCTAGAAAGGAGACTGCAATTCACTTATGTTCATAGGGGTAACAATTTCTATCCATAAGCTTGAAGCAAAAATTTGAAAGGTATTTTCCCAGTTGACTAAATTTAATGAAAAATCCAATGAATAATTCTTGAAAATCTAGATTTTTTCATAGATGTGTAATCATTAAGCATGTATCAATATGGCTGCTGTCATCCTACCATTATAATATATGCTGGCAACCAACTGAATAAAAGGGAATGGTAATTTTCTAGGTTTTTGCTAATTTTTTCGTAATTTTCCAAAGTTACATGTATGCACACAGATTCAGCTAATATTTATTTTTCATTTATTTATATAGTGCTGTGATATGAAAATTTAATTCAGAAAATGAATATAAAGTCTTTCTTCAACCAAGCATCTATCGTTACTTTATCAATTATTTATAGGCATTTAAGCACAATAAAATAAATATCAATACACTTTACTACATTTCTACTTAGAAGCTGTTACAGGTCTTTTATTTCAATAAATTTGGGAATGCCACAAACATATAAATATTCTTTGAAATGAATTGTTTATGTTTAAATGATAAAAGGCATTTAATGTTATATTTTAACAATCATTGGTCAATGACCATTATAATAGTCGATCATTTTAAACAGTCATTGCCAATTCAGCTTAACATGACAACGAAAAGATACATAATTATTATGTTTGTAAATAATATTGATAATATGTTTGTAAAAAACTTCTAATGAAGGAGGGGTTGGGGGAGGATATAATTAAACTTCAGGCAAGGGGGTAATGCCTCCTGATTTGATTTCACCAAATATTTTGACCAAAAATAAAAAGGCCCACAAAAAACAATTATAACAAATAAAACCAAATTCTTGCAATAATTCATAGCATTTCCAGGGATTTGACACTTGTACATATTCAAATGACTTTGCAGTGTAGTTCATGCAAACTCAGGTTTCTACTTCAGTTCACCATCACATATTAATTTGTCATCCCCATAATGGCATTGAAACCAAAATTAATGTGATATTTACAGTCTTCACTCCAGGGATTGTCTTTCGTGAGAAAAAAATAATATAAATAATATATATTTTATAATTAGTTGAGGTGACATTTTGTTGAAGTGAAAATGTCATACCAGTATAGATATAGAGAATATCCTTTCTGAATATGTCACTGAATAAAATATCATCAGTGTGATAATTCATAGATCTTAAGAATTGATAGGAAAATAGTACTTAAAGTAATTTAAAGATATTTTTCCTGAGGGATGGTTTTAAGTGTCTAATAACTGGAGCATGATGAAAAGATAGTATTGTAAACAATTTCTTCTATGGGCAACTTCTTCATTTGTCATGGGATCCACAGAACAATTAGTTTATTTTTAAAGCATTTTAAAAGTAATCAATACTTGAAATACTTGTTTTTCTTGACAATGTGCAGTTGTTAGACAAGGGGCATAGTTCTGACAGCTATATTTTTATGCCACCGCAGCATCTGCGATGCGGTGGCATATAGCGATTCACCTGTGTGTGCGTGTGTGTGTGTGTGTGTTTGTTTGTTTGTTTGTTTGTGTGTGTGTGTGTTATATAGATTATATAGTGAACTTCAAAAATCTTCTTGTGAAAAACCACTGGTCCAATTTCAACCAAACTTGGCAGGATTGATCCTTGGGTGAAGGGCTTCCAAAGTTGTTCAAAGAATTTCATTCCATGCAGAAATCTGGTTGCCATGGCAACCAAAAGGAATTATAAGAATAAATTTAAAAAATCTTCTTGGAAAGACCCAAAAGGCCTAGAGCTTAGATACTTTGCATACAGCATTGTCTGGTAGACCTCTACCAAGATTGTTCAAATTATAGCCCTGGGGTCAAAATCGGCCCCGCCCCGGGGGTCATTGATTTTCACTATATGTACATATAGTAAAAACTTAAAATACCTTCTTGTAAAGACCCAAAAGGCCTAGACCTTTGATATTTTGCATAAGGCATTGTCTGGTAGACCCTTACCAAGATTGTTCAAATGATAGCCCTGGGGTCAAAGTCGGCCCTGCCCCGGGGGTCAT